CTAAATTTTACTAATTTATCAATATGCGCCAAATTTAGATTTTAGGTTACTATTTAACATTTCATACAAACCAGTGCATTTAAAAATTTCTGTCATAGAATTTGGTTTCAGCCACATTTTAGCAGTATAATTATCTGAAAGGCAATATTTGCAGAAATTCAATAATTTAAATTGCGCCAAATTTAGATTTTGCCATCGTCGTTTACCTATATTATATAAACCAGTGATTTGAAAAATTACTGTTCATAGAATATTTAAACCATTTTCTCGAAAGTTGTATATTTGAAAGGTAACAAATTTGTAGAAATTCAATAATTTACCAATTTGCGCCAAATTTAGATTTTAAAGATTTCTATTTTAGCATTTTCACAAACGTGCATTTTGAAAATTCTGTTCATAGAATTTTGTTTCAGCATATTTTGTGAAGTTATGTTAATTTTCTGAAAGGCAATATTTGCAGAATTCGTCATATCAATATAGCCTAAGTTTGGACTTTTCAAGCTTGCGTTACCATATATATACAACCAGTGCATTTCGAAAATTTCGTTCATAGAACTATCAGTCAGATTTTCTGAAGTTGTATATTTGAGCAACAAATGGCAGAAATCTACCATAGCAATACAACCGAACGGAAGTATTAAGTTATGTACATTTTACTTCTGAAAGGTAACAGGTTTGCAGAAATTCATCAATTTATTAATTTGCGCCAAATTTATATTTTCAGGTTTATGCCGTTTTACCATATTCGTACAACCAGTGAATTTCGGAAAAATTTCGCGTTCATAGAATTTGGTTCAAAGTCCATTTTGCTGAAAGTTATGTACAATTTACTTCCGAAATGTAATAAATTTGCTGAAATTCATCAATTTATTAATTTATAAATTTGCGCCAAATTTAGATTTTCAGGTTACTGCCGTTTAACCATAATCATACAACCAGTGCATTTCGGAAAAATTACTAGTTCATAGAATTTGCTTCAAAGTCCATTTTGCTGATAGTTATGTACATNAGGTAAACATTTGCAGAAATTCATCAATTTACCAATATGCGCCAAATTTAGATTTTCAGGTTACTGCCGTTTTACCATATTCATACAACCAGTGCATTGCGGAAAAATTATTCGTTCATAGAATTTGGTTAAATTCCATTTTGCTAATAGTTGTGTTCATTTTACTTTCGAAAAGTTACAAATTTGCTGAAATTCATCAATTAACCAATTCGCACCAAATTAGGATTTTCAGATTATGCCGTTTTACCATATTCATAAAACCAGTGCATTTCGAAAATATCTCGTTCATAGAATTTAGTTCAAAGTCCATTTTGCTGAAAGTTGTGTACTTTTTACTTTCGAAAGGTAACACATTTTTAGACAAATTAACAAATATTTTTCTTTCATATTACTTTACATGTACACATGATATGAAAATGCCGAGGGCAAAATACAATTCTGTACTTTTGTGACTCCATAATAGTGTCAAGTACATGAATTATTTTAAAAAATATATCAAAATACTTCTAAAGTATTTCTTATAACTCATGAAAAATTAAAAATGAATTAGAATAAATTAATTTAAAAGCTTATAAATAATAGTTCAATAAAAGGGAATATATTTCAATTGGCATACCAATATTCCCAGTTTGGCATACATATAATATTTATTATACCTATTATCTTCAAGATTGGCCTAGGGGCATGTTAAGAGAGCTGATTCACTGCTGTTATAAAAGCGAGAAATGTTATTTGTTTCTCCTGCTTGTGAGGTGAAATCCCCGACTGAAATTTTACAAATGTTCGCTGTCGAACCTGCACCTTCTCGTTTATTTACGTTCTTTGGTACAAACACACACGTAGCTGCTCACAGGAAACATCAAAAAGTGTCGTGGCGCACCTTGAAAAATTACTCTGTTGCAGCTAAAAAAAAAACAGTTTCAGTGATTTATTGTGTATCGAATAATAAAAAAATATCTGCGTAATTTTAAAATTGAAAATTCGAATGAATCCGTGCCAAATAAGTAATTTCGTTCACTGTCTGCAGAGGAGAAAACGACCTAACTTAATTTAGTCGTGGAAATCAATTCAATGTGCGACGAACTACCTCACGCGAGTTAAAAAAAACGTAACTTTATTTCTTGAATCCGTGAAAATGACTAACTTTATTCTTCTTGTTTGTGAGATTACTGATGTATATACATTTATAGTAATATAGTAAGCATACATATGTAACATATGTACGTATGCTCATGCTAGGATACTGATACCAGGCAATCGAAAGACACAGAGATTATCTAGCATCTTAAGTATGCTCTGCATCTAAATATTAGCATCTGTATGTTTGTAAGTACATACATACAGTGTCAGACAAAATGAAGCACGAAATTTAACATTTTATCATTTAGCTTCATATAATATATATATTGATTCGAATTAAAAGTTTCTATTTTATTTCACAAATTTATAAATTTTTATTGATGTATTAAAAATACTTAACATATAACTTCATTTTACACTTAAACATGACATGAAGAATAACAATATACATAAAATAGGTACGACAAAACTAAAGCACATAACAGGTAGATAAAAAATAAAAGTATTTGTTGTTAATATTTGGTTATATATCCATTGTTTTTTATGACAGCTCCACATCTTCGTGACATAGATTTAATTAAATTGTTCAAAATGTCTTGAAGCTCTTTACTCCATGACCTGAGAAGCATCCTCAGACCATTTTGTTACTTCCTCCATGTTTCACAGTTCCTTGACCTTTTGGTCTTCGTACCAACTTTATTCCATCAGTTCCTTTAATATTGTACGTGTGCCTTCTTTATTTCGTTATACTCCCGTTAATGTAAGTTAATTCAAGCCGCGATATTTTCTCGAAATGTATGGCTTTTTAGCACTTCTGCATGTTATGAATTTATTTTTTATAGATCGTCGCTGGATGCACCTGCACCAAATATTCAAACCCAATTCGCTTTGCGTTGATCTAGCTGATATAGAGGAATCTCTTTTTGTGGAGCGCACTATGGCCATATCCTCACGGTTAGTAGTTTTACGTGGACTGCCACCTCTATGAATAGTGGTTAGTGGTTATGAATTAGTGGTTACATTAGGAGGTTAGGGAACGAAAACGACCTATAATTTTTTAGACAATGCCGTGATTAAATAATACTGATTCCCCGCTTTCAAAATCGCTAATATATTTGACTCTAAATTGCGCTAAATACTTATTACGCGCCATTTACAAAAATGCTTGCTTTGCATTTATAAGCATCTGGACTTGGTTTATTATTTATAGTAACTCCCCCAGCGAAACTATGAGGACTCTCCTGAGTTCTTCTAAAATGTTAAGTTTTGTTTTATTATTAAATATTAATTCCCACTTGTTTTTAAAAATACAATTTGTACTTAACTTTAAATCTTTTTAATTTTTTTCTTTTATATATATGTAAATTTTATTGTCATTTGTAACAATTAGTTCGTTTTCAGTTTCTACTTCTAGGCAAGCTTTAAATATGTTCTAATATAATTTCTTGGAATTTTTAAGGCTATAACTATTGTTAGATTTTTATAAAATAGCATTCCTATTTTGGATAATTATGATTTATACAAATCGATGTTAAAAAAATTATTTTCTTCCTTTGTTAAAATTGCTGGCTAAATAAAACTATATTTGTCTGCTACTTTGTTGTTGTTTTAATCATTAATTTTACCTTCTAAGTATTTTCATTTATTCACCATATCTTTATACACAAGTTGCTTTACAATATCTTTATTTTGATTGCTAATTGACGTTATAATATTCTTAACTTTTCCTCAATGTTCTTCTATTATATTTTTGAATAAGCTTATATTATCATTGAACTGCTATTTACATTTTGAATAATATTATGATTCTTTTGTTGAATTTCTAAATAGCTCCAAATTTCCGGTATGTTATCACCATTATCCCAAACAACCAGTTGTAAGATTTTCCTACTACATTCATCAGTCCTCTTTTACTTCTTTGAGAATTCTCAGAGCGAATTCATTTTATTTTATGTTCTTAAATCTCTATTTCATTTAGTAAAAATTCTTTTCTCTTAATCATACTGTTTTTAATGTCTTTTTTATATTAATTTGCTAATTCCATAATGTCTAACGACTGTATGATATGCAAGATTGTATTGTTTCATTTACTATAACCGTTGTTCCCATACGTATTATAATATATCCCGCTTAATCAAGTATTGGCGTCACCGGCAAGTGTCCTAGTACTAACTTCATCGTCATGAGGAGTATTGTTGTAGTATTCATTGCCTGCAAATTTAAACGGTCCTTTACTATTTGATGTGTGAACGTTCTGTAAAGAATTAATTTTAAAATATGGTTCATTCTTATGCTTAACTCGTTTGTAATTTTTTATTGGTCATGTTGACCTCAGTTTTTCGTAGTCCCCTGTACCCATTTTTTAATGTATTATGATTATGTTTTTTCTGATGTAATGTGTTTTTTAAAATGGTTGGGTCATACTATTTTTTGCATTATTGGTTGAACATTTTGGCTGAGTAATAGCGATCCTTTAACGATCTGTATCCTCATTTCTATTGAAAGGCTTGGATCCTCAATATCTGTTAGTTTTTTTGACAGGCTTGAGTGCAGCCTCTCAATGTCTGCGTTATTTGTATGAAAATTTGGTTTTGTTGAACGTACCTTTACTCCTTCTGTATTTTAACTGTAGAAATTTTTAGGGACTAAACTCATTATCCATAATCATTTTTGTTTTGGTTTTCCGAATTTCGTGAAATGTTAAGTTATATTGTACGCTGCTGCGTAAATGTTTTGTTTCATTTTTATCTGTAGGTAGCTCTGTTTGTTCAAACTTCGGCTTTATCGGTTTCCTATCATACTAAATTTGTTTGCATTTGTCACAATTACTTATTATTTATTGAATATGCTCTCTGAATTTGGGGTAAAATAATGTATATTTTAATGTGTTATGATATATGTTTTGTTAATGCCACTATGTATTGATTCAGTACTGTGATATAATAAAATTTGTTTGTGCAGTTCTTCTTCTTGTATAATTTCTGTTGCTCTTTGTGTATATATTATGAATTGCATTATAAATATATATTAACTATGACCTTATATAGGTAGATATTCCCGTAATGATTTTGAAAATTGGTGTTGTTGTTGTATTGATTTGATGTGAGGAATCTATCCTTACTTCACTTCACTTTGCTTGCTGCTTTATGCTGCGTTCACTTTTGGTATTAGGAAAAAACTGATGTTCATCAGCTATGTACTATATTGGCGCTGTTGATTACTTTACATTTTCCTCGTATTCGTATTTAGACGAGTTTGAAGGTGACGAAAGTCTTGATTGGCTTAAGTTAAAGTGTCGTATCGAGGAATTTTTTAATTTACTGGCCAGTGTTTCGGGTCCAGTTGTAGCCATTAGGGGTCGTGGCACCAAAGGTTATGGTTTACTATTTTTAGAGATGTACATCCACGACTGGCGAGATCTGCTGGATTTTCCTGACTTTCGACGCGACTCCAGTTTTCGGTTCCAACCTTTTCTGCAATTGTGGTGAGACAAAGCTCGTCCCAAAAAAGTTAAAGTTTATTTTCTGACGCAAACCTTTTTAATTGTTTAAATTTTAGTGTAGGTATGACTACGATAACCCGTGCCGATTTGCATCGAAATTTACCAATACTTGCTTACTAGAGTACGCACGAACTATCAATACGCATGTTGTTCATAATTTGTGTTTCTTATATATTGAACACATATTTTTCATTTGGTCGACATGTCAATTAAACTAGGTAGTGTTAATATCAGAATATGCGAGTGCATGATTAGGAAAAAGCCCGAATACTTGCTAAATGTTATCATAATTGTGAATTTATTTATTATGCACAAAAATGCAAAAAAAACCCAAGTAGGTTTTATATATCGTCGTTAAGAGTTTGTCAGAAACTAAGACAATTTGTTTGATATTACCCGATACGCCGATACGCCACAATTGAAGAAGAGAAGTCAGGTCGAGTGTTTGCAACAAAAAAAACACAAAAATATCAATGTGGAAAGATAACAGGCAAAGGCGGTTTGGAACGCATACTGGAACCTAGAAGATAACATATTATATACATATTTTTTGGTGTGATACTACAACATAAAATTAAAGCCTGTATATTCCGAAATAACTGGAAGAGTCTTAACCAAAAGGACATACAGTGCTATAAAGATACAATCGGTTTGCATCTGATTGTTTCCCAAATATAAAACATTATCAAGTTTTACAAATCTGAATTGCTGAAATGACTAGCTAAAACTAATTGAGCTGTTAGTAATAAGTTTAGGTAGAGATAAAAATCAGGATTTATCAGGATTTTGCTTTTTGAAAAAAAAATCAATACAAAGGCAAGCTGAAAGCTGCTTCACAGAAATAAATCCACCATAGATGGTATTTGACCTATGAAATAGCTGTCTATAAGCCAAGAAATTGAAATAAAAATAGTTGAAAATCTAACCGTCAGTCCCTGATAAGAACGGCTCATTCATTGGTAAGTTTTATGAACAAATATAGTTCCTTTAATATTTCTTTTTTTTAATAAATTAATGATTTTCAATAATGTTTTACAGAAAAAATACATCTACGACTTCGTATTAGTCAAAAGTTAAACGTTATTTACTCGGCTTCAAATTGATTAATGTTTTCAAATATGCTGCGTGCAAGAACACCGGAAAATTTATACTGACTGTAAAAAGCTAACATTGAACAAAATAGGCAGCTAAGTTCGGGTGTAACCGAACATTTTATACTCTTGCAATTTGCCAGGATCAAAGTAAGGGAAATACCTTCAGGTGCATACGATTTCTTAGAAAAAAGAAAATCTTTATATGTAGTATAAAATAGTTTGGGTAATTTGTGAACCAATTTCACATATTTTCGGCATTGAGCTATAGTATATCTATTATTATACTTCCAGTAAATTTTACTAAGGTATCTTACTTATTTGCTGAAATATGCAATATAAAGTTAACCGGTAGTTCGAAAATCATTCTATTAGGCACATGGGGCTAAAGGTATTATTGACCCGATACAACTCATACAGCCATATTATTATCAGAAAAGGATCCTTATCGAATTTCAATAACATATCTCACGGATTGACCGATGTTTTCGATAAAATGTTCGCTGTAGGAACTGGGGTTCAGATATTCAATACATGGGGGGTTGAATAGTTTTAGCCCGATGTAGACAATTTTTGACAATAAGATTGCTCAACTCAAAGGCACTATTCATGCAAAGTTTTATCCTGATACATTCTTTGGTGCTTGATTTGCATACTGGATAGTGAAAGATATGGGATTTTACCTAAAAGTAGGCGGTGCCCCACCCGATTTCACCCATCTTCACACTGTCGATAGAGATCCTAAAAACATTTTAAGAACATTTGCTCTCAGTGAATTTTGTTATTATAGCTTTAGCGATTTAGGAGATAAGCACATTAAACTTATAAGGGGCGGGACCACGCCCACTTTGAAATTTAACTGCGGATGCCCCTCCCCAATGTAATCCTGTATACCAAATAACAGTCTTGTATCTTATTGTGAAGCTTAGTTATGGCAATTTATTTTATTTTTTATTAATGGCGTTTTGTGAGCGTGGCAGTGGTCCGATTACGACCATCTACAACACCAACCGTCTTACGGTACCAAGAAGCATGTGTACTAAGTTTCATAAATATATCTCAATTTTTACACAAATTACAGCTTGCACGGATGGACGGACCGACAATCACCCGGATTTCAACTCGTCTCTTCATCCTGATCATTTATATATATAACCCTATATCTAACTCGATTTGGTTTAGGTAATACGAACAACCGTTAGGTGAACAAAACTATTATACTATGCAGCCACATGTTGCGAGAGTATAACAAACGCAAAATTCATATTTATACACCCCTAATTGAAACATATGACAATGGCATAAGTTAAAATTGTTATTTAGTGGGATGTCCTGTTTTTAGACAACCGCACTGCAGCAGGCTTGTAGTTATAGCTGGCACTAAATTAAAACAATTGATAATTTAAAACACAAAAAATTTCACTTTGATAAAATATTTAAATTTCATTGACCTGAAAAGTTTTAGTACGGCAACAACGAAATTGTAAACATCAGCTGTTCGAAATGTCGCCGTCTACAAAATGTTCAGGAAACTGGCTCCAAGACGACATTCCGACCAAAAAAATTTCGCTGTCGTGTCGTACCGTAGACTTTGTATGCTGTCTAAATAGCTGTGCCCATAAGAAAATTTGTATGTTGATATTTGACAGATGCTGTCTGTCGCTTGTCGTCTTTGAATATAATTAAAATAAGTGAAAAGGAGGATACAGGAGACGCAGTGGAGTCGACAGCGAAATATGCCCTTTGCGAAATATGATTGTCAAATTGCGGGAAATCCAATTTGCACATTAGGTAAAGAAGTTTTCGACTTTATTATTAACTCGAAAAAAGACATTTCGATAATAGTATTTAATTGTCAAATCTTGGTGCACACGACAATGATTTTACTAATCGAGTCTTCCCAAATACGAATATTTTGATGTTATCAGGAAGATTTATGAGCGAGCAAGAACCTCCTGTACAAGTACCAAATTTTGAATTTAAATACCGAAATTCTAAAGTTGCCATCTACCGTAATGAAAAGGACTGATATTCCGTTGTTACTGCTCACTTGCGAATAAAAGATAATTACTTGTGACCGATATCTTAGCTATCATAATCCACTTGTAAAAATTAATATGAATACAGTGCCCGCTGAAAGTGCGAATTAAATTGAAACAATTTGTTTGTCGAAAAAAAATAAAAATTTGTATTTGCCAAAAATATTGTGTTATAATAACATTGATTTCAATCCTTTCATGTTTCAATCAATTTGCCATCACAAAGTTTCACTTCTTCCGCGCGGAGAGACTCCACGCATTATGTTTTCCTTTTTTTTCTTTTTTTGGTTATTTGGATCTGATCATTGATTCATGGAAAGTATTAAGTTTCCAGTCCTTAACTTTTCTATGGGCGCCAGTGTCGCATTGGGTAATCGGAGTGGGATCAGTTAGGTTTCCTACTGCTTGAAATATACCTACGGGGGAAAACGCGTCCAAGGTTATCCTCAAAGTGATATAGAAGGGTGTCAAACAATTTCAATCCACATAAGAATATTAAGATAAAGTCCCAACTACTAGTGTCAATATTTACGTTGTGTTGATTAGTGAGGCTGATCATCTGTTGTAGGTGTTAACGCTTTCACATGGCGATACGAAGTCTTTCCATGTCACCACGATGCCG